GACTGAGCGACTTTCACTGATACCTCATAAAGCACTCTGAACAGATGGTCAGTCAGTAAATTATTAAATGAACTTTAAATGCCAGTGGCTCTGTTTGATACGTTCAACACAGGCTAAGTAAATGAGTATCTAAGTCCAGTATCTTCTGGCTAATATATATACTGATTGGTATGCTTTGGCAAAGGTTTCCCAGGTGGCACTAGTGGTAAAGAACCCACCTGCCAATACAGGAGCTGTAAGAGATGTGGGTTCAATCCCTGGGTTGGGAAGATCCCCTTGAGGAGGAAATGGCAACCCACTCCAGTATTCTTGCCTGGAGAATCCCATGGACAGAGAAGCCTGGTGGACTGCAGTCCATAGGGTCTCAAAATAGTCAGACACGACTGAAGTGATTTAGCAAGCATGTTTTTCTCATGAAATATAGGGAGAAAAAGGTTTAAAAGTGCCAGATAATAAGATCACTATTAACTTTTGTGGTTTAACCTTAATAAGACTCTTAGAATTTGTCAAATTTAGGATTTCTTAGGTTGAGTCAGTCTGGATATTTATAAGGAGGGAGGAGGCGGCATTTATAAATTGAAACAGAATGCTGATGAAATATAGAGAAAGCATATGCCCTGGATTCCTTATCTGAAGGTTTTTATATCACTAACCAGGATGAAAGGGCATTCCCCACCCCTTAGTTAGGCGTGAGTGTTACCCTTTCTGGGCATAATCAGTTAATACTGGTAAAATTCCATTCAACTCGTTTCTGTTTAGTAAAGTTATTTACATGACTCAAATGATACCTTACACTAAGATTGCCTTGCCCACATGATTGCATAAATTATTGAGTTCAAAATATTTTCTAATTCACACTGTAATTTTCTTTCTGACCCAAGGATAATTTAGAAGTGTATTTCTTAATTTGCAATCATCTTAAGATTTTCTAATTATCTTCTTTCTCTTGATTTCTAACTTAATCTCATTTGATCAGAGGATATACTCTGTGTGATTTCAGCCCTTAGAAATGTAAGTTTTCTTTATGTACTAGAATTATTTGCACTTAATATTCTATACACAGTTATTAGGTCAAGTTTGCTCACCATATTTTCCAGTGTTTCTGCATTCTTACTAATTACTTTGTTTTGTCATTGCTGAAATGTGATAAAACCTACTGTAATTCTGAATTTGTCTGCTTCTTCTTATGCCTTCCACTTTTGCTTTAAATATTTTCTGAATTTATTAAGCTTATTCAAGTTAGAACTAATATATCTTCCTAGCATTTGAGTCATTTATCACTATGAAATGTCTTTATTTCTGTATTGCTTTTTGCCCTAAAGTCAGTTTTGCAGGAATGAAACAGTTAAAACCAGCTCTTCTTTTGACGGGGGTTTGCATGGTCTGTCCTTTTCCATCCTTTTACTTTCAGTCTTTCCATGACGTTATGCTTCAGGTGTGACTCTCATAGATAGCATACAGAGTTAGTTTTGGCTTTTTATCCGTTCTGACCGTCTGTGTCCTTTGAATGAACCATTTATTTCATTTACTCTTAACACAGAAATTGACCATCTCCTTCGTGCTTTCTATCTGTCTCTTCTCTATTTCTTTTTCTTCTCTTTCTACCCTTTTTGATTGATTGCTGTGGGTGAAAAGCAAAATTCTACTCCTTCTGTTTGATAACCTCAGTTAAATTTCTAACTCTGTGCCCCTGTTAAACCTAGCACGATATATATCAACTATATTACTAGGCAACATCACTTAAGGTAAAAATTACCCCTATTGATAAATTGCAGCTGTCCTGGGAGAATGAGAATGTCAGACTTTTGGCTTCCTGAGTGTGGTGACTCATGTATTAGGCATGTCCCTTTCAAGGACCCTGGAAGCTGTATCTTTCGAGTTGCTATAAGAGATACTGAATCCTATGGGGCGTGAGGCTTTTAAACCTGAGGGCACTTCCTACATCTGATACGGACCTCAGCTCACTGTGCGTAAGCTGTCAGCTGACTGCTGTGTGGGCTGCCCCGCGAGCTTGACGCTGCCTGCCGGCAAGCCGTCTTCTTGTCCTTCTGAGTAGACCCTGCCAAGTGCGGGCTATAAATCTTTTGAGTCAGAATGTTTAGTTAGACCTAGGAGGCATCCTTTCCTTGTACCACCCCTCAACCACTAGTATCACAATGACATTTTATTACTACATTTATATACTTTATTATTTTGGAAGATTTACACCATAATTCTTTTTTGGTGGTTACTCAAATTATTACAGTGTCATTGATTATAAAAATCTAATATTATTTGGTGCTTTTACCTCCTTCCAGGACAATGCAAGGTCCATAAGACATCTTAATTCCATTTGTCTTCCTCCCAACTTATTATGTGTTGTTCTAGTCATATACTGACAAATATTTATTTCATTTAGGTATATATGTAAATATATACAATATGTACATATATTATTTTAAGTCAATAAAATGATGAAATCACCATCACCATCACCACTGCTAAGTACTGTTAATATCTGTTTAGATTTCCTCATTTATCCCTTCTTTTTCTTAACCTTCATCTTGGGCCATTTTTCTTCTGTTTTAATTTTATCCTGTTGTGTATGAGGCCTGATGTTGGCAAATTCTCTGTTTTTGTTTACCTGGAAAAGTTTGTGTTTTCCTTCTTGAAGAATAGTTTTGCTAGGGTGTAAAATTCTGCATTGGCAGCCGTTCAGTATTTCAAGCATAATGTTCATTTGTCTTCCATATTCCATAGTTTCTTTTGAGACATCAGCTATCAGTCTGTTTGTTGCTCCTTTAGGTAATAAGTCTTTTTTCTCCTTGCTGCTCTTCTTTGGTTTTCAGAAGTTTTACTGATGTACCTAGGTGTAGACTTTTCTTTAATCTTGCTTGCAGTTTGTAGCATTTTTTCACTTTGTTACAGCTTGATGGATTTTCATCAGTTTTGCAAAGTCCTTGACTATTAGCTCTTCAAATATTGCTTCTGTCCCTTTTGTTTCCTCTCCTTAGGACTCCAGTTAATTAAAGCATCTCACTGTATGTCTTCTATGCCTCTTAACCTCTTGTCTTTATTTTCTGTCTTTTTATCTCTCCATGATCCATTCTGGGAAAATTCTTCTCACTTTCCTTCTAGTTTACTGTTTTTTGCTTGAACTATTTCCAGTCTACTCTTCTACTGGTCCACTGAGTTCTTAATTTCTTTCTATTGTATCTTTAAGTCCTGGGTCTTCTATTTGGTTTGGTTCTTTTTTATAGATCTGGTTCTTTAAAACATTCTTAATATTGCCTTTTGTCATCTTGAACATGTTAAATATAGTTGTTTTAATATTTCTATCTGCTAATCCCAACATCTGGACCCCTGCAGATCTTTTTATTTTGTATATTGTTTTGCTATTTCTAATTCATGTTATCTTGGCTTCTTGTATATCTGATTAACTTTTATCTTGTCCCAAACATTATATTTGCAAAACTATTTATAGAAGTAATTGGAGGCCCATTTTTTATATAATCTTTGTCTAGATTTCTTTTGCTCCATTTAAGCATCTAAAAGCACTGATATTCCAAAGAAACTATTCCAGTTTGAAGGACTGAAATGATTCAAAGCTGAATCGAGCACTTATATGTGCCAGAGCTGTGCCTAATATTTTATATTCTTCATTGCAGTGCATCTTTATCATAGCTTCTGATTCTTTCTATTAAATTACTCCTGTTACTTTTAACCATGTTTCTGTAAACACACAAAAACTTGATGCTTACTTGATGTTTACTTACACGCTAGTTTTATTCCACTTCTACTCTTCCTGATGAATCCTAAAATATAATAATACAAAAATGTAGCTGAATGCCTGAGAACTTCCAAGCTTAAATCGAAGGGAAAGGAAGAATTTTTCACAAGTCTGTGCCTGAGAAATAAAGAGTCACAAAGCTTAATTTGACACAGTTAACACTAATTACTAATAACTGAAATTTAAGAAAGTGGAGAAAACCACTAGGCCATTCAGTTATGACCTAAATCAAATCCCTTATGACTATACAGTAGAAGTGAGAAATAGATTTAAGGGACTAGATCTGATAGAGTGTCTGATGAACTATGGATGGAGATTTGTGACATTGTACAGGAGACAGGAATCAAGACCATCTCCAAGAAAAAGAAATGCAAAAAGCAAAATGGCTGTCTGAGGAGGCCTTACAAATAGCTATGAAAAGAAGGGAATCGAAAAGCAAAGGAGAAAAGGAAAGATATACCTATTTGAATGCAGAGTTCCAAAGAATAGCAAGGAGAGATAAGAAAGCCTTCTTCAGCNATGGTTGGATGGCATCACCGATTCGATGGACATGGGTTTAGGTGGACTCCGGGAGTTGGTGATAGAGGCCTGGCGTGCTGTGCTTCATGGGGTCACAAAGAGTCAGACACGACTGAGCGACTGAACTGAACTGCACACTAATTACGTGTTAGTCATAGTATCTTTTTTAAACAATTTATTTTTGATTGGAGGATAATTGTTTTACAGTACTGTGTTGGTTTCTGCCATACGTCATCATGAATCGGCCGTGGGTATACCTATGTCCCCTCCCTCTTGAACCTCCCTCTCACCTCCCTCCCCATCCCACCCCTCTAGGTTCTCACAGAGCACCAGGTTTGGGCTCCCCGCATCATGCAGCAAATTCCCACTGGCTATCTATTTTACATATGGTAATGTGTATGTTTCCATGCTACTCTCTCAGTTCATCCCACCCTCTCCTTCCCCTACTGTGTCCTTAAGTCTGTTCTCTATGTCTGTGTCTCCACTGCTGCCCTGCAAAGAGTTTCATCAGTACCATCTTTCTAGGTTCCATATCTACGCATTAATATATGATATTTGCTTTTCTCTTTCTGACTTACTTCACTCTGTATAATAGGCTCTGGGTTCATCCACCTCATTAGAACTCGCTCAAATGTGTTCCTTTTCGTGTTAGTGTCTTTAGTCAAAGATTATTTTCCAGTGAAGCTTACCATTTGCTGGTTTGTTTCTATAGGAACCATATTACGTACGTTGCATCAAACCCAACGACATGAAATCCCCACATATCTTTGATGATGAACGCTGCCGGCATCAAGTAGAATATCTTGGACTCCTAGAAAACGTGAGGGTGCGTCGGGCAGGCTTTGCCTTCCGCCAGACCTACGAGAAGTTTCTTCACAGGTGAGAAGAGATGAAACAAAGAAACCCAAGAGCTCAGTGAGACTTAGGGAGTCTCCCTGTGTTAAACAGCACATCAGCTCTTACCAGGCGGTCTCAATATTTGTTGAATGAACAGAAGAGTTGAGGAAACTACAAATACGAAAGACTTTCCTAGAATCGGCAAGAGACCCCCTTGAGTTTGTGGTTTATGGACCATGGGGAAAAAATGAATTCTTCATGGGGAAAATATAAGCATGTAGTATAGGAGAAAGAAACAAGGATTCAGAGTCACAGCTGGGTTGGAATCCTGGCTATGCCACATGTTTGTTGCATGACCTGGAGTTAGAAATTTAACTTCTTTGTTTCTGCATTTGCAAAATGAGTATAGTAACACTACCTTATAAGGCTTTTGCTGTGAGGATTAAATTAACCAACGTGAAAAGGCTAGGTGCCTGGCACGTAGTAGATGTTCAGTTAATGCTGCTTATCATTTCTGATATTAGTAACTATAATAATAGAAAGATACTAAGTAGATCATCACAGAGGCCCTAAAATTAGTCTATCTGATTGAATCCTGGCTTTGACCAAGATTTTTGACCTTGGGAAAAATCATATAAATTTCCAGTTGCCTCTGTTTCCTATGTGTAGAATGGAGAAAATTAATTTTTTAAATGGGAATTATAATAGTAATTACTTGGTAAGACTGCTGGGGGTGAAATGAGATAACGTATATAAAATAAAGCACCTAGAATGGGAACCTGGCTTATAATAATCACTCATTATAAGGTGTCATTGCTATTGTTATTTATTATTGGTAACAATAATGCTAGTTGACACCTGGGATCTTAAAAATAGTGCTTTAAATCCCATCTTTTCATTTATTTTAAAATATTTATTCAACATTCCCTATGTTGTAGGCTACAGATTTCACAAAAATATGAATGAATAAATAAAGACATAAAATATTGGTTGCTGAGGAGTCTCTTAGTAGATAATAATGAATGTAAGGAGTCAGCCATACAAAGGTCAAAGAAAAAGAGCAGGTGAAGCTGAGGAAACAGTGGAGAAAAGTCTCTCTTACAGAAATAAATGTTGCGTTTTAGGTACCAAACATCATCCAGTATGGTTGGAGGATGCTGAGCAACAGGGCAGTGGTGTGGGTTGAGATCAGAGAGATGGACGGGGGCCAGATCATGTTGTATGTTGTCATCCAGACTAAACAGTTTAGATTTTGGCCAAGGGTGGTAGAAAACCATTGGTGGATTTTATGCAGGGAGCCACACAATCTTATGGATGTTTTAAGAGATCACTGTGGCTGCTATGTGAATAGGAAGGAAGGAGACATTTAGAGATGCTATTGCAGGAATCCAGGAGAGGCAGCTCAATGAGAGTGCCTTGAACAAGGAATTATTGTAGATCCAAGAGTAGTGGACTGATTCAGGATAGGTTTGGGGGGAAAGTGAACAAGACTTGCTGATGGATTGACTCAATGAGAGAGGAGTAGAGAGGGATGAAGGGTAACATGTAGATTTTGGCTTGAGCATCTGGATAAGCATAGTACCATTTTCTGAGATAAGAAAGATTGGGGAGGAGAAGTTTGAAGAAGAGGACATGGAGCTAGGGCAAAGATGGAATCAAGATTTGTCTCTTGACTATGTTAGGTTTGAAATGGCTTCTAAATGCCTAGGTAGAAATACTAAATAATCTACTAGACATATAAATCTGGAGTTCTGTGAAGACTTCTAGGCTGGAAATAGAAAGTTTGGAGTTACTGATATATAGATTATATATAAAGTCTTGGGACTTGATAGAAAAGAAGAGAAGGCCCATGTCAACATTTAGGCTTGTGGTCTGACATGAAAGACCCTGCAAAGCCTATGAGAGAGAAGAAATATCAGAAGAGGGTTAGGTCACGGAAGCCAAGAGAAGATGGCATTTCAAGAAGAAGTACAATTATATTAAATATTACTATGCCATCAAGTAAAAGAAAAGCAGAAGCTTAACCATTAGACCAGGCAGCCCAGAAGTCAGAGGAGAAAGAGCTAGTCGGAGCCCCATTTGAGCAGGATGGGAAAGTGAAGTGAGTAGCTGGATGTCCACAAACAGCTCAAGGATGTGTGTTGTGAATGAGAACAGAGAAAAATGGAAGCAGCAGCCAGAGTGGAATGTGAAGTCAAGGAGACTCTAGAAAATGTTCAAAATGCAGGTGGCGATGATTCAGAACAGAGAGAGAAACCAGCCACGCAGAAGGAAGGGAGATAACTGAAATAATAACCTCCTTGAGAAGACAAGGAGTGAAATCGCAGCACAGGTGGAAGGTTGGTCAGCTTTAGATGGGAGCAGGGATCCTTCTCCCCTAGCAACAGGGCTAAAGGCAGAGAGAGAATATGAATACCAAGGCAGGAAGCCTCGAAAGCCGACTGATGGCACAAATGAAAATGTTCCTGTCTGATTGCTTCTATTTCTTCTTCTTTTTTTTTTTTTCCTATTCCTTCTTAAAGTATGAGGCAAGGTCGTGAGCCTGAGAGTGAGGATCAAGAGAGGTGGTGTAGGAGGCTGACAAGTAAACAGAAATACTCACTTTAGAGAGCGGAGAGCTTTCCCACTCTCTCCCAGTAGCTTTGCTATCAGGAAGACCTGAGCACCCATTTGAGGTTTGAGGTTGTAAGTGTGTAGTGAGGACCCCCGCCCCCAGCATCAGCTGTTGTTCTCCACCAGTGTTCGGCTACTTGCATGCAGAAGTGAAAGGGATTCACGCTAATTGGAGACTCTTGGAAAGCATAAAACTTTATAGCAGAATAGCCTAGAAAAATGAGAAATTTTCTATTGAACAGAAAGTCATGCTCAAAACTGATCATTTTCCTTATTGAGATCATGCTGTTCTTTAAATTTGGTTTTTCTTTTTTATTAAAGCTGTAGAGTAGAATGTGTTCATTCTGAGTCTCGATTTCAGTTGATGTTAATAGGAAGATTGCTCATCCCTTATCATTACTTAGAATTCTAGCAAGTACTCAGTGGTAGGATTTGTTTTTGTGTTGTCACCTATGTAAGATCAGCAGAAGTCAAGTATTAGAAAGACAGGGTGGGAATGGGCAGCTATAGGATGGGGCGGAACTGGAAGAATTATCTAAAATAAGTAATTTATTTATATTTATGTATAATTTAATGATTTGTGTATATTAATCTAACTAAAAAAATATCATGAGACAAAGAGGAAGCCATGGAGAGTAGTTGAAGTAAGAGAATAAGCAGGCTTGATTTGGAGGGGACAATTCTGCAAGTGCATATCCTTACTCACTTTTAGTCCGTTTTTGTACTTATTTTACTTTCAACTCAAGATGCTTGGTGTGTTTTTTTTGGCATAGAAGACATGCTACAAGGATTGGATTATGTTTTCTAATACTCATGTAAAAATAGAAAAGGTTAAAAAGAACCTATGAATTTCAAATATGATAGTCTTAGGAGTACAATCTTAAATCTCCCATTCCCACTCCAGAACATCCCCCAGTGATATAAAATATGTGTCTTTAAAGCCAAGTAAATGCAGAGCCACACTATGGAATCAAAAGAGGGATGCTCAGTGAGCCTTGAAGAGGTGAATCACTCCTAAATACAATATGAGGCAGACATGTAGACCCAGAAGTATGCTGAGGTCACAGTTTTTAGGAAAGACTGCCTTGTGAGGCTTCAGCTGGCGTTCAGGAGACATCTCAGCTACAGTCTGGAGTTTCCCCAGCTGCAGCACTGAGAGGCTGCCGTAATGGCCAGGACTAATAACCACCTAAGCAACTGCAAGGGAGACATCATAGGTATACTGGCCAAGATTCTGGAAGCAAAAGTAGCCAGCTTACAAGAGGCCAGCAAAGGCCAAGACATACATGTAGGAAGAAGGATTCTAGGGTAGGAGATGAGATAACAGTCAAACATCTGAGAAAGACCAGACCAATGAGAAAGAACCAATAAGCTCAACAAATGAAAAACCTCACCCCCAAGGAACTAGAGCAAGGAGTATAATACCCTGGAAAAAGCCTATTCATATTCTCAGAGAGATAAAGGAGAGAATTTTGGTCCTAAAGTAGGAATATGCAGTTCAAAACAAGAACAGGTTGTTGTTAAAAAGAACCAGTTAGGGATTTGGAAAATGAAAACCAAATTAAGCACAATCAGAGTGAATTGTCCATCAACAGAATGAGTCAGCAGTTTATAGTGTCATCATACAATGGTTACAAGTCAGCATTAAAGAGAATGAACAGGGGCTTCCCTGGTGGTCCAGTGGTTAAGACTCCACTCCTCCAATGCCGGGGGCGTGGGTTCAATCCCTGGTCAGGGAACTAAGATCCCACATGCCATGCAGTGTGGGGGAAAAAAAAAAGAGAGAGGTAATGAACAGCTGATACTACAACAGCATGGATGAATAAAACATTATGTGAAAAAGAATCACCAGAGAGTACACACTTTATGCTGCCATTTATATGAAGCTCATGAACAGATAAAAATCAGGGCAGTGCTTTGCTCTCGGTTGAGAGTTGGCTGGAAAGGGGGAAAGGTAATGGGGGAGCTCTTTGTGATTATGTAGATGATCTTCATCTTGATTGACATGTCAGTTTCATGAGTGTATACATTTTTCAAAACTTACTGAATTGTGTTTTCAAATGTGTGCATTTTACTATACATAAAATTTACCAAAATTAAAAAAAAAAATTTTTCAAACTAAACTTCTTTTAAGTGAGTTAGTAAGCTATAAAATCAAGCTGAAGACTTCTCCCAGAGCTCATCACAGAGGAAAAGAGATGGAACGTTCTAAAGAAAGGTCACACCAAGTGTAAGTTTGATCCAGAAGGGCCAAAAGCCATGTAGCAGGAGCACCAGAAGGAAAGGAGAGTTCAGGGGTCAGACTGAAAGAATACATCGAGTGTAAAACATACGAATGTTTTAAATGAACTTACGTTATGTTCACTTTCAGAACTCTAGGCATAATGAAAAGTGCTTAGAGTTCCCAAGAAGAAAGGCAAACTACCTATGAGGAAATGAGACTCATACTGTCATCAGACTTCTCATTAGCAACATTCAGTATAAACAGACAAAGGAGCAGTATCTTCACTGTGAAGGGGAATGAAGTTTACACTTAGAATTTTATTCCATGGCAAGTTATCATTCAAAAATGTGGGTAGGGAACTTCCCTGGTGGTCCAGTGGTAAACAGTCTGCCTGCCAATGCAAGGGACACAGTTTCCATCCCAGGTTCGGGAAGATTTCATATGCTGTGAGGCAGCTAAGCCTGTGCACCCCAGCAAGAGAAGCTACCACAGTGAGAAGTCCGAGCACTGCAACTAGAGAGTGGACCCCACTCACTGCCACTGGAGAAAACCCACGTGCAACAGTGAAGACCCAGCACAGACAAAAAAAAAAAAAGTGTGGGCAAAATAAAAACAAAATAAATTTCCTGACATATATAAGTTCAGAAAGTTTACTATCCCTAGACTTCTCTGAGAAATCTTCGAAAGGGTGTACTTTAGCAAAAAGGAATATAAATGCAGAAGGGAAATGTGGACTGCAAAAAAGCAACATTGAACAAATAAGTCAGTAAAACTTCTTGTGAGATCTATACAAGTGGTTTCCATTATAATGGGGGTGGGGGGGCCGGAAGAATATCGGTAGCAATCATTTGCAACAAAAATTAAAATGGGAATGAGGAATATAGAGAAGTAAAGACTTGTACTGTTTATGGGAAGGATAGAAATGTTAATTAACAAGACAGGGAAAATTATCTATTTTCCTATAAATATAATATTTACATATACTGAGTGAACTAATTAACAGTGCTGTATGGGGTAGGATGGAAAGTGTGGAGGAGCGTTTTCAGTCTTGATGGGAGAATAAGTAACATTTCCACAGTGAGTTTGTGTTTTTGGATTCTGCAGATTTTTTTTGTAAGCTAGCTTTGAGCCTAGACTTCTACTTGTCACCTTCATCCTTTTATCAAAAGAGAGAGAGAAGGAATTTAAAGGTGCTGATAACCTTTAAGCTGCTAAAGGCTTCCAGGGAGGTTAAAAACTAGTTGTCAGAAAGCAGATGAGTTCAGCTTTTTAATTTGCAAGTTCAGGATGCTGGTTTGCTGGAGAAGTGGGGTTGTGCCCCTAACGGTGGGGAAGAGAGGAAGTGCACCACTACCCTGACGTGTTAGCCGAGGAGGGTGGCAGTACCATTTCTTCTAGCTCCTGCAGAATGCCTACAACTTTCAACACACGCCATTACTGCCTGTTGACTCTTATTCTAGTTTCGTAATAAATTTGGAAATTTTTGAATTTTATTTCCTTTTTTCATGTGATATTGCAAAACGTTACCTCTCTCTTTGTATCAGAACTCTTCAGTTCCTGTTTCTGTCTTTATCTGGCATATGACCAGACTTTAAATATATTTTCTTCCATTCTTTTATTCAACAGATATCTCTCTCCTCACTGTATGGCAGACAACGTGATAGGGATGTGGTATATAGTGAGGAACAAAACAAAATCTCTGCCTTTGTGGTACCTAGAGACGGACATTCAACAGACAGATGCACAAATCAATATGATTACAAACTGAGATGAATGGTGTGAGGAACAGAAAGGCAACTGGTTATTTTAGGAATAATGGGGATGATGGTTGATGAAGGAAAATCAAAAAAGACTAGAAGATGAGAAGTCTCCACCTTTCCAAGAGTAGCTTTTTAAAAAAAAAAAAAGCATTCCAGGGGACTTCCCTGGTGGCCCAATGGCTAAGACTATACATTCCCAATGCAGGGGGCCCAGGTTCAATCCCTGGTTAGGGAACTAGATCCTATATGGTGCAGCAAAGAGTTCGCATGCCACAACTAACGATTTCAAATGCTGCAACTAAAATGGAAGATCCCGCATGTCCCAACTAAGACCTCACACAGCCAAACAGATAAATACATTTTTTTTTAATCAGGATTTAAATTAAAAAAAAAAAAAGTATTCCAGGCAGTGGGAACAGCGCATACAAAGCCTCAAAGCAATAAAGAGGCAACCACAATACCGAGACCCTGAAGAAGGCCAAGCTGATTGGAGCAGAGCAAGGAAAGCAGGAGACCAGTAAAAGATAAAAATGTTGTGAGGCTTTTGGGAATACTGCTCTGACTGCTGAATGTGCAGAATGGATTGAAGAGGAAATGGAAACCAGCTTAGGAGTCTGTTGTAGTAAACTTGACGGTGGCTTCTCTTAGGATTGTGGCGGTGAAGATGAGAGTAGTTGAACTTTAAATATATTTTGGAGGTGGAATCAATAGACTCAATGGTGAATGAGAAGGAATGATAGAGAAGAGCAGGAATCACATAGGATTCCCAGGATTCTGGCTTTGGTAACCAACGACTTTGCGGTTGGAAGGACTGAAAAGAAGAATTTTAAATGCCTTAAGGTCTGTGTAGGCACTGGATATGTGAATGTGAAATTCAGAATTGAGAGCTGGGCTTGGGATAATAATCACTTGAGTTGAAAAATGAAGTGGATGGACTAGATGAGGTGAGGTGGGAGGTTGTACATAGAGAGAAGAGGGCTTCATATGAGCCCCGGGGCACTCCAACCTTTCGAGGTCCAGTAGTGAAGAACAGTAGCCAGAAAATGAGATTGAGAAGAAATATCCAGAGACAGAAGGAATCCAGGAAGAGCATGCTGACCCAGAAGTTGAGATAGAAACTAGGAAAAGAGAGAAATATCAAGAAGGAGGAATCAGATGCCCCTTAAATATATATTATCTTAACCAGAAATGGGTAAATTCCTAAGAGGAAAATATGAAGATTCCTGGAAGGTGCAAAAGTAGACTTAAACCAATCCCTGGTTCTTGGGTGGGACAACTGGACATCATAGCCAAATTTAATGCATGGGAACCCAAAAAATACCTGCAAGGATTTGTTTTGTGATTGTTTTTCCCTATGCAAATTGATTCTAAAATTCATATAGAAAAGTAAACATCTAAGAATATCTAGAAAGACCTTTAAAAGGAAAAGAGAGAGAAAAGACCACTGGATATTGAAATATAACCTCTATAATTAAAACCATGTAGTACCGATCGGCAGAGAGAGCAGTGAAACAGACCAAAAAGCCTAGAAATGAATTAAAGTACATATGAAAATTTAGCATATGATAAAATGGCATATTAACTCAGAGGGAGAAAGACTGACTTTTTAGTAAATAATATTGGAAGTAGCCTTTTTTCCGAAGTAAAGTTGGATCCATTCCTTATACCAAGATAAATTCCAAATGAATCAGAGCTCCGAATGTAAAAAATGGAAACATACAAATCCTAGAAGAACCCTTAAGTGAATTACCCTGTAACCTGAGTGTGAGGAGAACCTTTCTCACTAAGATGTAGAATTCAGATGTAATGTGTGAAAAACCTACTAAATTTGACTCCATGTAAACAACTTTGCACCAGGGATAGGGGAAAGCACTGTGGTAGGCAGCCTTCCAAGCTGGTCCCAATGATCCCCGCTTCCTGGTATTCGTGCCCTGCATACTCCTTTTCCCAGGAGAGTGGGCTGACCCTCGTGAACTGCTTCTAGCCAAATGGAATATGGCAAAAGTGATGGAGTGTTGCTTGTGAGATTAGCTTACACGGGGCTGAGGCTTTCACTTCTGTCTTGCTCACTCTCACCATCACCAAGAAGTTGGTGTGAGGTAAACTAACCTATGAGAGGCCCACATATGGAGGAACTTCTGTGAAGCATGAATTTTATTGAATAGCTTTTCTGCATCTATTGATACCACATGGTTTTTCTCCCTTAATCCATGTCCTGATTTGTTTGTTTGTTTTCCCCATCAAGGTACAAAATGATCTCTGAATTCACCTGGCCCAACCATGACCTCCCCTCAGACAAAGAAGCTGTCAAGAAACTGGTCGAATATTGTGGCTTTCAGGACGATGTGGCTTATGGGAAGACCAAAATTTTCATTCGAACACCCCGAACATTGTTTACCTTGGAAGAGCTCCGTGCTCAGATGCTTGTCAGGATTGTCCTCTTTCTACAAAAGGTAATCTTACATTTTCTATATGAGGATAAGGCTTTGATTTTATGTTCTTACAATTGAGTTGAATGCTTTCTTTGATTCAGGAAATGTTCACAGTGATGTATTTTTTTTGTATCTATGCATATCTTAGAGTATTTTCTGTTGCCTTTGCACATGGAAAACTTACCTGTGTGAGTTCACTTTTTTAAAATATCTTTTTACACTTATTTTTAATTGAAAGATAATTGCTTTACAGTGTTGTCTTGGCTTCTCTAGTACACAACAACAAGAATGATTTTATCCTCCAAATGCCAAAGATATTTTGTCTTCTGATATTCAGAATCAGAGAGATGTCTGAAGTAGTCTGATTTTTGTCTCGTGGCTAATTGAATCATTACCCTCATCTTAACTGCATAGTGGACTTTTTTCTGTCTTGTCATTCAAAAGCTTGACCAACTCGTTTGAAACCGGCGGTCTCACCCAACACGACCCACCAACAGCCCTTGACTGAAGTGTGTAGTGCTGACTTAGCCCTGCTCCTAAATCATGGTACCTGTCATCATTGATCTGTGCAGGGTCCCTTTTCATTTCATTCGTTCACTCAGACATTTCTTCTTATCCCCCTTACCCATTTCCATACCTTCTATATGAAACGTTTTGATGTAAAAACTGATACATGCATGCAAAAAGAAATCATGTCCCTCGGTGAGAGTGGAGTATCCACCAAGGGAAGGGTGGCCGGCTGACCTGGCTGCTCCTCTCCAGGATGCCTGCCGGTTTGCACATCACCAGTTTGTATGTAGAGGTTACTAAGTGCCCACATCGTTTTCAGGTGCCTAAATTTTGCCAAACTAATAAGTATAATGAGATCACGCTGTTTTATTCTATTTCCTCTTTCTCTGATTACCATTAACCTGGAGCATCTAATTAAATGCTTGTTTGCTTTCGGGGGTTACCTGTAAACTGCCCTTTCATAACTTTCATCCACTTTTCTTCTGGAGTTAGTATCATTGTTTGTTGATGAGCAGGAATTCCTGGACTGTTTTAGACATTAGTCTCTCTTTCACTTCAGACATTATATAGTCTCCTACTGTGGGGGTGCTATTGAACTTTCTAATATGCTTTGTTGAAGAGAATCCTTAATTTTGACATAATTAAAAATCTTCAACTTTTTTTGCCTCATACTTTGTGTTTTGGAATTTTGTTTAAGAGGACTTTCCTGGTCTCCAGATCACAAAGGTACTATTCTGTGTTTTCTTCTATGAACTATATAGTTTTACCTTTCACATTTAGGTCTTTAATCCATTCAAAATCCACCTGTGTATGTGGTTCTCTAAAGGAATCCAGTTTCACTTTCTTCTATATGATGAGGAAGTTTTCTCGGTGTCATCTAATAAATAATCTATTCTTTTCTTATTAGTTTGTGGTGCCACTTTTACTGTGTATGAAGTTTTTATATATGCATATATATTACATGTATTCTGTTTCTGAGCACTCTGTGCAGTTCCATTTTTATATCTGCCTCTCATTACATTAAATGACAGTTTTTATTGTCATATGTCTTAGTATATGATAAGTCCATCTTCTGTACTCTTTTTTTTTCCTACTCTTTATTGAGGTTGATTATTGTATACATAGACCTTTATTCTGTAATATGAATTTTAATGTGTGTTTATTGAGTTCATGAAATTCAACAATACTGTTTATTAGTGTTGCATTGAATTTATAGATTAAATTGAAAGGATTAGCATTTTTATAATATTAAGTCATCTTAAGAGTGTAGAATAGGCTTATTTACATCGTTTTATTGACTTTTAGACTTAGGAGGGACCTTATGAATTCATGGTAAATTCCTAGGTGCTTTATTATTTTTATAGCTATTGGGATCTTATTATTGTGTTTTTACTAGATTTTCTACGTGGCAATGTTGATGTAGAGAAATAGTACTGGCTTGCGTGTGTGTGCTTGCATGCTCAGTTGCTAAGTTGTGTCCAATGCTTTGTGACCCCGTGGTCTATAGCCATACAGGCTCCTATGTCCATTGGATTTGGCTTATGTTGGTTTATCTATATCCAGAATGAAACCTTTCTTGATTCATATTTATTGATTCTATTCAGTTTTCTGGGTAAAAGATTACATCTTGTGCAAATTATGAAAGTTTTTCTTCCCTCCCAATTGCCAAGATGTTTCTAAGTGTTGGTCTTGTTCATTTATTTTGCCTAGAACTCAGAAAAAAACTTTTGGAGTGGAATCTTAAAATTCTCTTTCATCTTAGAACAGTTTTCTTCTGTTGATTTTTTTTTTTAATATTGCCTTTACTCTGTTCTGTTATCTTTCTTAAGACAGCTTGTAAATTTGCAAGTTGAATCTCTGTTTTTTTGTCTGCCATAGTAAGTTGTTTTCCCACATCTGTTCTGTATATATCCAGATCCTTGCTTTTGATCTTCAGTGCTTATCCGGGGGATGTTTTGTTCTCACAGATCTGACACTTTGTGTTTCTTCTTTATACCTAGCTGAGAGATTGACCAGATCTAGCCTTTGACTCTAAACCAGGATGACCCTACCTCTCAGTTTGATTGGAACTTTCCTGGTTGATGACTGTTGTCTGTTATAAATATTAGTAATGACCCTATCAGTCTCAAAAGAGTTCCCTGTGCTATACAATAGGTCATTACTAGTTCTCTGTTTTATATGTAGTAGTGTGTATATGTCAACCCGATTTCCCAGCTTATCCCTCCCTTCCCACCTCCTGGGAACCGTACATTTGTTTTCTACATCTGTGACTCTGTTTCTGTTTTGCAGATAAGTTTATACCATGGTTTTTTAGATTCCACATAGTAAGCATTTTCAGGTTTCCCTGATAGCTGAGTGGTAAAGAACCCACCTACAATGCAGGAGACACGGGTTCAATCCCTCAGTCAGGAATATCCCCTGGAGAAAGGAAATGGCAACCGACTCCAGTATTCTTGCCTGGGAAATTCCATGGATAGAGGAGCCTGGCAGGCTACAGTCCATGGGGTTGCAAAGAGTTGGACACAACTTAGCGACTAAACAACAAGCAGTGTCATAGATTTGCCTTTGTCTCGGTAACTTCACTCAGTGTGACAGCCTCTGTGTTCATCCATGTTGTTGCAAATGGCATTATTTCATTCTTTTTTATGGTTGAGTAGCATCCCATTGAATCTTGTCTCTCAGAATTTTAGTGTGCTCATCTGGTAGCTTCCTAATTAGAGGATGGTTGTGGTTTGATTATGAGATGGTAGCAAAATTGATACAATCTCAAAGACAGTATGGGCTTCCCTTGTGGCTCAGCTGGTAAGGAATCTGGCTGCAATGCAGGAGATCTGGGTTTGTTCCCGGGGTTGGGAAGATGCCCTGGGGAAGGGAGCGGCTACCCACTCCAGTATTCTGGCCTGGAGAATTCCATGGACTCTATAGTCCATGGGGTTTCAAAGAGTGGGACACAACTGAGTGACTTTCACTATTACACCACAAAGGCAGTATATAGTAGAACAAAGGAATGAGTGAAGGAGAAAGTATGGAAAAGAGTAAAAGGGATGATGGAATGCCAAGAAAGGAGGAAAAGACCTCAAGCTGTGAAATAAAGTACTCAGAATGTAGGCTAAAATGATATGTGATTGTTTCTAATTTTAGAGTGGAGTTCTAGATGGAATTATAGGGTAGTGAATGACCTTTTTTATTTTATAATAATAAATTTGGTTTTCCACTAGCAAACTGATACTGTGTAAATATTATACAACATATAGGGTTCTTTTATCAATAGATCAGCAATGTTTTCTTATAGTTCCTTAAAAGAATTGGTCTATTTGGGGTCAGATTTGGATTTATATTTTCTTGAAAAATCATTCAGTTTCTCAAATTTAATTCAGCAGAGTTGAACAAAGTTGTCTCTTATGTTTCTTTTCATTTCCTTTGTTTTTTCATCATTCCCTCAGGTCACTCATTTTGTGTATTTGACTGGTACTCACTCTTTATTCTTTATCAACTTTAGTTAGTAATGCATTTTCAAGAACCAGCTCTCTTGTTAGTACCACCATTTTCCTGTTTCTAATTTATTGATTTTACTTTTTATTTTCATCAATTCCTCCTTTTTTGGAATGTAAAAGAAGCAGCAAGCAGGAGATTCTCTTCCTTCCAGTTCTGGAGTTGGACATTTCATGCATTTTATTCTTTCACAGTTATTAATAATGGACTATGGAATTTGTTCTGAGAACCACTTTTACTATATCTATAGGATTTCATGCATTATTATATCTAGATATCCTATTTCCAAAAAAAATGTTATTTAAAAAAATTTTTTAAATAACTTCCAGGTGATAAATGTTTTGAGTGTATTTTTTTTTCCATTTTCTGACTTTTTTGTTAATTGTTCAGTTCAGTCGCTCAGTCATGTCCGACTCTGCGACCCCATGGACTACAGCACACCAGGCCTCCCTGTTCATCACCAACTCCCAGAGTTTACCCAAACTCATGTCCATTGAGTTGATGATGCCGTCCAACCATCTCATCCTCTGTCATCCCCTTCTCCTCCTGCCCTCAATCTTTGCCAGCATCAGGGTCTTTTCAAATGAGTCAGCTCTTCACATCAGGTGGCCAAAGTATTGGAGTTTCAGCTTCAACATCAATCCTTCCAGTGAACACCCAGGACTGATATCCTTTAGGATGGACTGGTTGGATCTCTTTGTAGTCCAAGGAACTCTCAAGAGTCTTCTCCAACACTGCAATTCAAAAGCATCAATCCTACAGCGCTCAGCTTTCTTTACAGTTCAGCTCTCACATCCATACATGACTACTGGAAAAACCATAGCCTTGACTAGATGGACCTTTGTTGGCAAAGTAATGTCTCTGCTTTTTAATATGCTGTCTAGATTGGTCATAACTTTCCTACCAAGGTGTAAGTGTCTTTTAATTTCATGGCTGCAATCACCATCTGCAGTGATTTTGGAGCCCAGAAAAATAAACTCNTTCCCATCTCTTTCAGAATTTTCCACAGTTTGTTGTGA